TAAGCGCAATTGCTGCTGAACCACTCAAGAGAAAACCTGTAGATTCTGTTTCCAAGCTCTGCTCAAGTAAAAACATTTGTTCAAAAATGTGGGGTACCGATTTTTTACCTTTACACTTATCTCCTTACGTAAAAATTGGATTTTAGCGATACCCATTTGACCAAACACCCGTCGCCGGTGATCCCATCTAGTTGTCACTTTGCACTGGTCGCCCTATTGGTCGTCTCCTCCCAGTAGTGTCCTCTCCCGATTACCAGATCTCAGTCCTCCAAACCACATTGCTCTCGTCAGGTCATCTCTTCCTGTGAAGTCTCACAGTGGTTCTCCAAGGTTGCACGTCTATCTGAAAACCCTTTCAATGCACCGAGTTCGAGCACCTGCTAAATACTCGCTGTTTCGATCGAAACGATCGGTTTTAATGTAAAACAGTATAAGTATACTATCAATTAATACAAAGGTCTGATCCGCCTAAACTGGAAATCAAAGTCACTGTCCAATTTCAGTTTTTCGAGCTTTTTTCTACCTATTTCTAATTCTCTTTTGTTCTGCTTTTTGTCTTTTACCGTTTTTCTTCCTCTAGCGGCCCCCAATATTCGGTTAGCTAAACCTTCATTGGAAAGCGGACTGAGAAATTTTTACAAGTTTACTTTTAAAGCTATCACGGTACGAACAGAAGGTGGACACATTCCAGTTGAGCCGTACCACCAGTACAATAGAATGGGCATGTAGCCTATAACCATTGGCTCAGGGGTCAGGGACACTATCTTTTGTGCTCTTTTACCTCATTAAGTCGGAGCCAACTCGGTTCGCTTAAGACATGAGACAACAAAATCGTGTTACATCTTAAAGGCCACTACCAAAATATCCCCCCACTCTAGATATAAGAACGTCCCATTGCTAGGTCTCTAAATAGCTAAATCACGCGAACGCCGTTCCAAACGGTAGGTTTTTTCAATTCAAACAGATCCTTCCCAATTTGTTCTTCATCAAACAAGACCGTTATTAGTCAAATTCGGCACATCATCGATCGAACTCCGTGGAATAAAATTTGTTTGCATTGTACTAAATTGGACGTCATTCTGGTCGAATGACACATTTGTCAGATTTTCGATCTTTCAGTTTTCGATTTTTCCATCATCGTTAATCAGTTTCTTTACTTTTTTTGTTTGATCCCGACAATTCCCTTTTTCTTCTGCTTTTTTTCTTTTAAAAAAAAAAATAACACTTTAATTGCACATCGAAATTAATTTCAATACACAAGTGTATGTCAAATGTTTTCTGTTTTTTTTCCTATCAGTTCATAAAAATATTATCACATCATTAGATACACATAGTTACAATAACAATAAACAAAACAAACTCGATTACAATTATCGATGATTACTTTTCACCTGAGAGCTTCAAGATGGTTGGTAAATAAATGTTATTATATAAACTTGAAGCTTTTCCATGAAACTTTACCATGAGTTGCCACAGAGGGGTCTTCTTTAAATAATAATAAATAATAATTTTTGAATTTTATCTTTGCTTTTCTGTATGTTACTATGTCTTTTAAGTTGACTTTATCATCTGTTAGTTTGTTCCAGATTATGACGGACTTTTTAAAGAAGGAATTTTCTATGTATTGCCCATTGTATCTGTCGCCGAAATATAATTTTTTGTTTCTTGTATTAATGTCTATTTGGTGGTTATCATACTCAATGTTATAATAGGCTGGCAATAATTGATGTTGTATTTTCCAAAAGTGACATAATATTTTATAGTCCAGAAACATTGTTACTGGTAATATATTGTGTTTTAGCTTCAAGTCTGAAGATGAGTTGTATTTTGCACGATCGCAGCAAGTTTTTACTGCCCAGCTTAATTGTTTTTCCAGAGATATCATTAGGTTAGCGGATATTCCACTTAAGAGAGTTGCTGGGTAATGCAAATGACTAATTACCAGTGCATGCATTATCAAGAGTCTTGTTTTCACTGGCAATGGCTTTTTGATTGATTGAAGTGTTTTTATTCCGCATGCCATTTTCCTGAGAATATTTTTGATTTCATCTTGGAATGTGAGAAACTGATCTAAAACTACTCCTAGGTATTTAACATTGGTTTTTTCCTCAATTATTTTATCATCTAGAGTTATAGTATACTTTTATCTTTTTTTCTTGAATGTTTTTTGCTGAAAACGATGAGTTCTGTTTTTTTTGCATTCAATTGAAGTGAGTGTTTTAAAAAATAATTTGATAATAGACTGCAATTGGCTTCGAGTGCTTTAATAGCTTTTTGTGGATCGTCATTTTCGCAGAATAGTAATGTATCATCCGCATATTGAACTATTTTACATGTTTTGTCAATTTGTTTGTTGAGATCGTTAATGTAGAGATTGAATATTAGAGGGCCAAGGACAGTGCCCTGTGGGACACCCTGCTCAAGTGTAATCCAATCGGATTCGGTGTTGTTAACAATTGTTTTCTGACTTCGGTTGGTGATAAAGGAATTGATCATTTCTATAGCTTCTTCGGAAAAATTTAACCCTCTTAGTTTTTGTTTAAGATAAGTATGATCAATAGAATCAAATGCTTTAGAGAGATCCAGTAAGGAACATGCTACAGTTTTGTTGTTGTCTATTGCTTTTCTGAATGCTTCAGTGCAATAAAGAATAGCGTCGATTGTTGAATATGATGTTCTGAACCCAAATTGGGTATTACTTAGTAATTTTTGGGATATCAGATATTCGTTGATTTGTTTATATAACAATTTTTCAAAAACTTTTGAAAGAGCCCCAGTTATAGAGATAGGCTTATAATTTTCTGGCAGTTCTGGATCTTCTTTTTTGTATATTGGTGTGACAATTGCTTTTTTGAGCTTGCAAGGATATGTCTTGTTTTTCAAAAACTCATTGTACAGAAATGTCAGATGTGTGTATATTTCATTGCAGCCATCCTTCAGCGCCCAGGCTGGAATTTTGGATGGACCTGGTGCCTTTTGACAATTTAAATTATGTATTTCTTTTTTACATTCAGCTGATGTGATGAATCGGAATGAAAATTTATTATTATTTCGAATTTTGCATGTAGAAGTCGGTGGATTTTGCCTGATTTTTGAATTAGTCTCATAAAAGCATCCAAGAGTTGAGAACTTGTAATTTAGCAGGTTCGCCATCTGTAAATTATTGGTTATGAAATTGTCGAAGGAATTTTTAAGTAATGGAATGAGGTTGGAAGATTTTTTTGAGTTTCTTGTATCGTTTATTATACTCCATTTTTCGCGTTCGCTTTTTTTCGAATTAAACAGTTGGGAAATAAATTTATCATCTTCGTAGTTTACCTTTGGTTTGTCGTTGCGAATGAAAATAGTCTTCTGTGGGGCACATTCCTTAATGGTGTCAGCAATGTTAGATGTGAAGATGTCGAGCATTATTTCGGGATTATTATTGCTATAGAAACTTCTCCAATTTATAGCTGATAGTTTTTGTTTGAATTTGTAATTGGAGTAATTGGATTTGTCATATATTTTACGTTTGATTGGTCTTACATTGTTGTTCAGCTTAAGTTCTGTAATGAATGCTGTTGCTTGGTGGTCGTTCTTAATTGGTGGTGTGAATACTATTGAATTATTTGTTAGATCTTTTATGCCTAGGTCGGTGATAATATAGTCAATTAGTGCTTTTGAGTGAGTAGGTGTTAATTTGTTAGTGACGTCCAGATTATATGGTATTAGGATTGTATCTAAAGACTGTTTGTCGTCTTCGTTGAGATAGTTGAGATTGTAATCTCCTAGTAAAATTAGGTTTGAATTGAATGATTGTGCATGGTCAATTGATTTGGCTAGATCTTCTAAGAAGTCTGTTTTGTTGTTTCTATTAGGATTGTAGGCCAGGTTTAATAGAGTGGTTCTATCATTTTTGTTGAGTCCGGCTTTAAATTCTATCCAGATGCTATCATACTTTTTGTGCATGTTGTTTAAGTCATGTCTTACTTTTGGGTTTAACTTTTTAGGAACCAGTAACATGACCCCTCCACCCTTCAATTTTTTACTCGATTCATAAGTTCTATCACATCGGAACAACTTATGTTTGTCATTGTCTATGGCCCATAGTTTATCGTCATTTGTATCATTGAACCATGTCTCGGAAAATCCGAAAATTGTATTATCATTAAAAGTTTTGATAAGTTGTTTGAGATCTGAACGCTTTCTAGCTAAGCTTCTACAATTCAGATGTAGTACTTTTAAGTTGTTGTTGTAGTTTTCCAGTTTTTTCTTTATTTGACTGAATTGCATGAATGGTCCTGGATTTGGGTGGATATCCCCTGATGTTAGGAGAGTTTTATGAAGGGACCTTTCTTGTTTTTTTTAAGTCTTGCTTGTGTTTTTTATATAATAACTGTAATAGTAATAGCTTATATTATTAAGTGTAGTGCAATAGTATTTGTTCGAGTATATTGTGGCAACCCATGGAAAAAGATACTTTCCTTTTCTTTTATTCAGTACCGCATAAGCTACGAATTGATCGCTTTCGCAGAAGCTGATGACAGATATGCTAGTTAAGGCAAAAAGTAACAGCATATCGCTTTGTAGAACAATTATAATTAAAATTACAAATAACAGTCGTTTATATTATAACAAATTAGTTCTTCGTGGCTCCGAGGTTTTTTTTAGTTGTTAAATTTTCAAGTTTAATAAGTAATAAATAGCAGTAGGAGCTAATTTGTCAGTCGATGCGGAATTTTTTATCCACAGACTATTCAAAAAAATGTTTTTATGATGAAGGACTAGTAAAATAGTTTCGGTCACCATGATATTTTCTGACCTTCGAATTTTATCAAGTCAAATTAATGTTGACTGTAAGGCATGGCCTTTTACAGTCATTTCTCTATTAATTCATTACATAATGAAAGGGATTATACGAATGGGATGACTTCTGACACTGACGGTCGTTGCGCTGATTATAACAAATTAGTTATTATAAAGTAATTAAGTAGAAATTTATGCTCTGAAATATATATTTTTTAGATATTATTTTTGAAAATGAGTGAAATGTTTTCGTATGGCCCGAGCTCACAGAGTCTCACTTTCTTTGACACTGAAGACGATGAAATAGTTGGCGCAGACACACAAGCAGATGACTACGAATTCAATGACTTCACAATTCCCTCTCAAACGCAAAGCCAATTTGAGCCCCAGGTAATTCGTCATAGTGTATGGTTTCTCGTTTTGAGCAATTTTGAAAATCAAAGAATTCGTAATAAATTAAAGTTGATTCACTTAGGCGCACGATGAAATAGAAATAACAATGTCGACCACATCTGATGCCTCCATGAAAGCAGCTGAGCGAGGAATGACAGATCTGACCTTCGAGGAAGAAGAAGATGAGTCGTTTTACTCCAAAGACCTGCCAAAACATGCATGTCGCTACTGTGGAATTCACGAACCTAACACTGTTCTAATGTGCAACATTTGCAAGAAATGGTTCTGCAATGGTCGTGGGAATACGTCCAGCAGGTATAAATTGTTCTGGTTTTTCATCTTTTGCAGAAAGTTATTTCGAATGACTTTTAATCTGAAAAGCGTAAGATTTTAAACGCTTTAACAGTTTCTGTTAATAGGATTTCCGTGATGTATTTTTGCTTTCCAATGTGATTGTAAACTTCAAAAAAGGCGTTTTTACGCCTTTGAACACTGAATCCGTGCAATTATTTTCTATAATAAGTGATACGAAACATCGTATTGTCTCTGTTGTATTGATAAGCGTATTGCTTCAGTCATATTGTAAACCATCTGGTTCGCGCCAAACACAAAGAGGTTTCGCTTCACAAGGACACGCCTTTGGGCGAGAATCTTCTCGAGTGCTACAATTGTTCGTGCAGGAATGTGTTCGTGTTGGGATACATTCCAGCCAAAGCAGATGCTGTTGTTGTTTTGCTCTGTCGGTAAGGATAAGTGTAGATTTTGACTTCCGTTAAAGTATTGTGCTCTCATTTAGTCTCTTTATTTCTGTTGTATAGAAACAGGGGTACTATTAAAATGAATGGGATTTGGTTTTTAAATTATTTTTTGACACGCTTTGGAAAATGTTTTCAACAATTCTCAAAAAAAATAGTTTTTCTCAAAAACATTTTTCGATGTCCAAAAAAGTGGTACCAATGGAAAGACTGTCTACTTCCCTGTGTACCTGTTTGTACGCTTTGTCTCTTTTTACCGTTTCTCTTTTTCTGCAGCCTTCGAAAAAGTTTTTTTTGGGGGGGGGTTTGACCCATATTAAAATTTTTTCATTTTCTCAAAAGAACTACCCTCCAAAATCTGCGATTTTGAGTTCAATGACTACAAAAAGTTGTGGGAAGCTTCCCTGCATAGGCGACAACGGCTAAAAAGTTTTACAAAAAGAGTTATGATCCTTGGAAAAGTCATATTTTTGATTTTTTGACATTTTTTGAAACTTTTCTCGAAAACTAGCCTCCCAAATCTGGGTTTCAGGTTCAATGGAGAAGATTGGTTTTGGGACACTATCCTACAGTAGTGATTGTGCCCAATTTTTTTTCCACATAAGTAAATGGCCCTCGGAAAAAAAATATTTGTTTTAGACCGTTGTTATAATCTTTGTGACTTCGAAAACTACTCTCCCAAATCTGAAATTATAGGTTCAATCAAAAGAACGGGTTCTGGGAAGCTGCCCTGCATAAGCGACTACGCTGATTTTTTAAACCAAGTCATGGCCTTCAAAAAAGCCAATTTTTCTCCTCTAGTTTTAAAATTGATTTGAAATTAGACGCGTTCTTTGTGTCACTGCAACATATTTAGCCCTACTAAATTAGTCTGGTATGCAGGAAGTACATTTTCATATGTTGTTAAATAGATATCCTTGTGCTGCTGCTCCAAGCACAGCCAAGGAGATGCAGTTTGACCACTCCAAGTGGAAGCCACTGATAGAGGACAGGAGCTTTCTCTCGTGGCTGGTCAAAGTGCCCTCGGAGACTGACCAGCTGAGGGCGCGTAAGATCAACGCTTCGCAGATCAACAAGTTAGAGGAGATGTGGAAAGACAACCCCGAAGCTAATTTGGAAGATCTGGAGAAGCCAGGCGTCGACGAGGCACTCCAAAATGTCCTGCTACGGTATACAATTCTCAATTGTATTAGGTTCAACTGAAAATATCGATTTTAAAAAAAAAAAAATTTGCGCAATTGGAAATGCTACATTTCTGGCGAATTGTATTTTTATCTAGTTATATTAGAATTCAAGCGAACTGTGAAGTTTTGTGAGAATAGGGTGTGCATGTTAGGTATGAAGATGCATATCAATATCAGAACATCTTCGGACCCCTGGTGAAATTGGAGTCGGACTATGACAAGCGACTGAAGGAGTCCCAGACGCAGGACAACATAGTGGTCAGATGGGATGTAGGACTCAACAAGCGGAGACTTGCATTCTTTGTACTGCCTGCCTCCGACTCAGGTAGAAATTGAACAAAAATGTTTCATTTAACAAGTTTTAATCATAACACATGTTCTTCAAACCATCAGTAAGAAAAATTAATTTCTCCGGGAGTTCGAATGATTCCTTATGGTCACTGTGCTCATTGTCATTTTCCAAAGATGTGATGCTTGCGCGAAAGTGAGTGGAAGTGTAAAGATTAATTTTTAATATTAGTTTCGGGAAAACTCGGATGTCGATAAAAAAAACCATTGTTACTGTTTAGCGTTCTTTGAGATGCGCCTGATGCAGGGAGACGAGTTGCGCATGGCGTATAAGGGGGAGCTGCATAAGCACTGGAAGGGGGAGGGACACGTGATAAAAGTTCCGAACAGTAATGGAGAGGAGATAGGGGTGGAATTGAGGAGAGCACACGGGGAGATGCCACCGCTACATGTCACACACAACTACTCAGTGGAGTTTGTGTGGAAGTCCACCTCCTTCGACAGGTCATTCAAATGGAGACTAACCTTTATACTGGAGAAATTTTTTACCTCCTTCCCCTCAATTCTTATTGTAATTAATTCAAACGGTTCCCTTTTTACCAGCGCGCAGCGTAGTGTGTATTAGTACGAACTGTCTTTATAGAGCTGCTTTTTGGGTTCGTGGTAGTGTTTGCAAAGCCTCACATCTCTGTTGGGAATATTTTGCCATCTTCATTTAGTCGACTAACCTTAGATTTGGCTCTTTTCCACTTTCCCCCTTCCATCTGAAATTTAGTTTTGAAAAACGATTTGCGATAAAATTTTGCATGGTGAACGAACTAATTATTTTTTATAATAGCGAACTTAAGTGAGCGTTAGTGTTATACTATAACTATTCTTTTTATCTAACCGAATTCCCATATATTGGTGCCACTTTTGGGCATCTTTACGGCTTTTTGATAGCACGTGCTTTGACATTCGAATAGCAATAATTTAACACAGTTGATGATTTTAAATTAATCAAATGAACAAAAAAAAGCTATTTGTTTTTATACAACATAACAATAATTAACTCAATTTATCTCGCAATTTTTTGAAGTGAATGGTTTATACATAATGTGGCTTTATGCTTTCCAATTTATTACGTGCAAAATTGGTGTCGATGCCTTCAGTGTGTTATATTCCAAACTATTAATTGCAAAATTGTGTGTATTTGTGCCACTTTTGCTGCATGGCATTGGGAATTTGTTAGCATATGTAGTTGCTTTATTTTTGACCGGTTGTTAAGCGTTGGTGGCCGATAGGGCAGGGCGTGAGACTCAAACTCTCGAAGCCTCTGTTTCGAAGCCCATACGTAGCAAAATTTTACTAATTCGAGTGACAGGTTTTTTAATACAGGTACTTATGCTCTGTGTGACAGGTTTTTTCTTCATTGCTTACATCGCAACGTCACTTAATATAACTAAGAAATTTTAAAATTTGGGGGTGGGTAGTGGAAAAGAGCCTTAATTTTCTTCAGTCGAAATTTTTGCCAGGGTATGCTAAATTAAAGGGGGATGCCGGGCGAAAAATAATTAGAAAAATGTTTGTTGGCATACAAAAGTATAGCAAAAAATGGTCATTCTAGGGTTTCTCGGGTTTCGACGAAGCTCCTTCGACACTACAAAGTGTTTATTAAAAGTGTTCACTTATTTGGAAATTTCACAGTAGCATTGGAAATTGCATAGCATCTATTCTCCGCTTTATTTGTGGCCTTTGTTTGGTGTCTAGTAAGTTTCCGTGGCTGAGTAGTAAGTGTGTGAGACTGTTAATGATTAGGTCGCAGGTTCGAATCTCAGAGGTAGCAGATTTTTTTTTACTAATTCGAGGCTTATTTCTAATTTTTTTATTGCATTTTATAGAGCTGCTTTTAATCGTCTTCGCGCAAGTGTTAACGAAGCTTCGCCTCTGTGTAAGAACTGAAATGGGTCACCTAAAAAGTCAGCTGAATTTTTTTGGAAGCTCACCTTCCCATATGTCAAAAACTTTCCTGCATAGACTCCTGTTCGTCTGTTTTAGAAAAGGCAGAAACTGTTGTGTTGTTTTGTAGAATGCAGGCGGCGATGAAGACATTCGCTGTGGATATGACATGTGTGTCCGAGTACATATTCCACAGACTACTGGGCCACGACAACAGCTCCACCGGTCCAGATGGGGACAAGGTGTTCAAACTGAATGTGCCCAAGAGGTTCTCAGCACCAGGACTACCCGAACTGAACCACAGCCAGGTCAACGCCGTCAAACAGGTGTTGCAGAGGCCACTCAGTCTGATACAGGTAGCTAGTTGTTGAACCTAACGCACAGTTTTCTTTCAGTCTCAAGAAGTTCGTAAAAAGTAGTAGATTATTGGGGTCGATGGTATCTGATCTATCTTTTCATTTCAAGTTGAATAGTTTTTCTTCCAGGCTCCCAGGCCACATCCCACTGCCACATCATAAGAATTGAATTATTGGTATGTTTCTAGGGACCCCCAGGAACTGGCAAAACTGTGACATCGGCTACCGTGGTGTTCCACTTGGCGAAATTAGGCCAGGTGCTGGTTTGTGCACCCAGCAACATCGCAGTCGACCAGCTCTGTTACAAGATACACCTCACTGGACTCAAGGTAACATAGTGTTTTTTTTTGTATCCTTGAATTCATTCAGACTTTTCCTACTGTCTGCTGCTTATGTTGTGTCGGTCCGCGAGGTTCGCCCAAATGAAGCTGTTTCCTATTGCAGATAACTTATAATTATACAGGCGAGCTTGCGATCATTGTGTTGTGTAACGAGTTTTTTTCCAATCCAACTTGTATAAAATAATGCTCTTTTTGGCGGCAGTTTAGTGCTGTTTTTGGTGTTCTCTCTCCGCTCTGGGTACATGGGAATTATTTTTCAAAACTCTTTACGCTTGCGATTTGCAAGCGTTATCAAATCGGAATATAGACTTTTTTCGGTTTTACAACAGTTTAACAGAGTCAGTTGAATCACTTATGATGCTGCTTTGCAGCTGAGATGCTCAATTTCATGAAACTTCAGGTACTGAAAAGTTCAGGTACAGTAGGTAATAGTTACTAGTGTATGTTATAACAAGAAGTCAAACCATTGTGGGTATAATTATAGTTTCGATACTAATTTTCTGCTTATGATTTTTCGGCTTCATGGTTGTCGACTTAAGCTCTGTCGGTTTAATTTCCAAATTATGTTGTCTACTTTGCATAAGCTTTTTGTATAACTATCCTATGTGGGCGTTACATGCAATTTTTTCCGATATGATTCTTTGACAAAAATTTTTTGGCTCAGTTTCAAGTATTCGGCCGTCGGCTTTATTTTTTTGGCTTATTTACCGACTTTTTCCTTTAAGTGACCGGCAGTCCTTTTATATCGATAAGACTATTTCACCATTTAACTCAAAAATATATATATTTTTGCTTTTTATTATTATGTTTTTTTTTTCGTTTTTCCACTGACGGCGTCAATTCTCAGCTTGTTTGAAGTTCTGTTGGCTAATTTTTGAGCGTAATGTTGCTTTCATCTTATAATTGTTTGATCAGAAGTAGTGCGAAGCTCAGCTTCGCTTCTGTCTTTTAAAGCTACCTCTAGGCGTTCTGTCGCTTTTGTATGCGAAGTGCTGCTTTCATTCTGCGTAGAAAGTTATAGCGTCCTATGAAATTAGACGAAAAGCAAATAATACATGAACGAAAATATTGAATTTAGACGTCGATGCAAAACTCTAAATATAGGAAATTAGATGTAATTGTATTGTTAACGTGCGTGAAATTTGTTTACTGACTACAATTAAGTTTGGCTGACTACAATTAACTTGCGTTCGAGCTTTCTTAAATGCGGCTCTGATTTTCGCATATCGCAATTGTATAATTTATGCATTTCAAATGTTTCATAATATATCGATTAATGTTGTAAAAATTATTTATAATAAATACTTGGATATGCAATGGGATTATAAATTCTTTTTGTATTGGTGAAATTTTGCTTCAAGTGATAAATTTTGTTAGCCCTTTGCTATTCGTTCAAAATGCTAGATTTGCAAAAAAGAATTTATCGTCCAAATTCCATTTTATTGGAGACGTCTAATTTGCTCGTCGCCTAATTTCCTAGCCCCTAAAATTGTATTGGTAGCCAGTTGTTGATATTCATAGTTGGGCCTAGGCAGTTAGACGAAAAGCAATCTAGACTTGACCAAAATAAACTGAAATTAGACATTGATACAAAACTACAAGTTTGGGAAATTAGATGTAATTGTATTGTTAACGTGTGTGAAATTTGTTTACTGGCTACAATTAATTTTCGCTGACTACAATTAACTTTCATTTGAGCTTTTTGCGAATCAGTTTTTCACATGTCTCAATTGTGTAATTTATGCATTTTAAAAATGTTTCATGATCGGATTAATTTTTCATAAATATTTATAGCAAATATTTTGATATGCAAAGGAATTATATTATACCCTTTTTGTAAATGTGAAAATTTGTTTCAAGTAATAAGTTTTGTTAGACCTTTGCTTTTCGTACAAAATTCTAGTTTTGTAGAAAAAATACGTCTAAATTCTGTTTTATTGGATCCATCTAATTTGCTTGTCGACTAATTTCCTCGCCACCATTTATAGTACATTATTACCGACTGTTCAGCGCTGTTGGTGAAGTTAAACATGACCGATATTTTGATGATATCGAATAAAACTATTTCTTTTAAGTTTTGCTTCGGTTTTGCTCATACGTTTTGCATCAGATAAAACTCCTTTTTTTAATGGAATGGATTATAATATTTTTTTGATGATATTATTTTTTTCTACAAAACTCCACTATCGAACAGCATAAGTGTAAAGATCACGAAAAATGTAATTGAATTCTAATTAAAGACAGCCACATTGGGTCGTTGCGACAAATTTGAACCTTAAAATTGCATAGGATACTATGGCTTACTTAAAAGAGAACATCCTTTCAGTCCATTCCCTAACGCAATCGGTATTCAACGCCACTTCACATGTCTCAATCACAGAGCGAATGAGTTTGATACTTGCTAATTGGTTCTGAATGACGTGTCTTGATTGGCAATTTGAAATGTGGCAGAATTGTGTTTGTCTGTATCTAGGTGGTGCGACTGTGTGCGAAGAGTAGGGAGGCGATTGACTCGCCAGTGGCCCACTTGGCACTGCACAACCAGCTGAAGAAGCTGCCGAACAGCACTGAGTTGCGCAAACTCATCCAGCTCAAGGACGAGACAGGCGAGTTGTCTGAGCAGGACGAGCGACAGTATCGCTTCCTCAAGAGAGCAGCCGAGAGCGAATTACTCAAGGCAAGTCCATATTCATACACTTTCAACGCCTCATTTTCCTTAGCTCCATCTACTGCTCTTATTTGGTCTCTATTTCGAATACTTGTTTTTGTAATAGGTTCACGCTCAAATTTGATTTTCCGTGGTGAAGAATCTTATGTTGTGATTTCTTTTTGAGAAAAGTCATGCACACATGCTCAATTTTTTTTTTGAGCTTTGACTTCCGAGTTCTTTCAAAGTGCAGTTCATTTCTTTGTTTAAGGAAAGCAAACTCCACTATCGAACAGCATAAGTGTAAAGATCACGATAAGTGTCACGAGGTGTGGATTCTGTTGTTTTTTGCTATAGAATGCGGATGTGATTTGTTGCACCAGTGTATGTGCGGGAGACCCCAGATTGGCGAGATTCAAGTTCAGGTCCATCCTCATAGACGAGTCCACTCAGGCGACGGAGCCAGAGTGTCTGGTGCCAGTGGTGTTGGGAGTGAAGCAGTTGATCCTAGTGGGAGACCACTGCCAGTTGGGCCCAGTGGTCATGTGCAAGAAGGCAGCCAGCTGTGGCCTCAGCCACTCCATGTTCGAGCGACTGGTGGTGTTGGGTATTCGACCCATCCGACTACAAGTGCAGTACAGGATGCACCCTTCACTCAGTCTCTTCCCCTCCAACGTGTTCTACGAGGGGTCCCTACAGAACGGAGTCAGCGCAGGTCAACACTCAATAGCCTCTCCTTTGATCGAGATTAGCACCAAAACGTTGTCATGACTTGGTCGGAAACTTTCTTGCTAAATGTGCCTGAAATATCACTATCTTAAGTTTTCTAAACTCTGATTTTGATAAAGGTTACTTCAAATTCATGATTTGCGTGTTACGATATTCATTTGATAAAGGCAATTACACTGTTGGTAAGTGAATATGCGCAATTTAGGGGAGAGAAAGAACCCTCAAGTGGATTCGATTTGGCCCAATGCTGAGCTGCCGATGTTCTTCTACAGCTCCACTGGCCAAGAGGAAATTGCATCATCCGGCACATCATACCTCAACAGGTAACTAATTATCCTCTATTGCATCGCTCTTACATTAGATGTTTGTTAGCTTCTTCGATACTTTTATTGCAGTGCATTATTTCATTAGTGACTTCCGGGTGATTGTTTTTCGAATTTAAGTGTAGCGTATTTTTTGTAAGTTATCTAATTGAATTGAGTGGTTTTATAAATAATTTTTGCTGGTTTTAGGACGGAGGCGGGCTACGTGGAGAAGATAGTGACTCGCTTCATGAAAAATGGAGTGGGTCCCGACCAGATAGGAGTGATCACGCCCTACGAGGGTCAGAGGGCTTTCATTGTGGGTCATATGAGTCACAACGGGGCAGCCAATGCCAAACTGTACAACGAGGTCGAAGTGGCCAGTGTAGATGCATTCCAGGGCAGAGAGAAAGACTACATTATACTGTCGTGTGTGAGATCCAACGAGCATCAGGGTATCGGATTCCTCAACGACCCCAGAAGATTGAATGTTGCTTTGACCAGAGCTAAGTTCGGACTGATCGTTGTGGGCAATCCTAAAGTGCTCTCGAAGGTGAATTTAAAAATACATCCAGGCTGAATAGCAATTTTATTATGTGAACAAAAATAGTCTTGTCGAATTGGAATTAGTCTCGCCTGTATGCATGATTTTGTTGCAGCAACCCCTGTGGAACCAGCTGCTGCATCACTTCAAAGAGAACAAAGTTTTGGTTGAGGGTGCTCTCACAAACCTCAAGCTGAGCATGATGACTTTCGCCAAGCCTAAGAAGTTGACGAACATGAACAACCCAGGAGCCAGCTTCATGTCATTTGCCATGTTCGATGCAAGGGAGTTCTCGAGCAATCCCGCGACGTCTTCATTCGACCGCAGTCAACAGCCGCCCAATAACATGCCACCGAATATGCCCTTCAACGGGACCCAACCTCCTATTTTTGCTCCACCCACTCATGACCAGATGGGAATAATGAACCCGGCTATGCAACTGGCACCTATCCAGGGCATGCCTGTGCCGATTAATATGTTCATGCCGCCCCCTCCGCCTGCTGCCTTTTTCCAACAGATGAGTCAGCAGAACTCACAGCAGCAGCAAATGGGCAACCGCATGCCTCAGATGACCAATGGAGTGAGACCGAAACAACCGCCCAGATACAACCGGTTAGTAATCATTGCAGAATTAGACTGCCTTAGAACGCTCTAAAGGTTGAGCTGAATATAATATCTCTCTTATTGCAGAAACATGGCCGGTCGCAACCCCAGCCAAATGGGCTCCTCGCAGCTGAGCCAGGGTCTGTCGCAGCCAGGACTCTCACAGATGTCCATGGGACTACAGAGTCAGGTAAAGAGCTCTTCATTTTGGATAGTGATTTAGTTTGAAGAGACCGAACCGATTGTAGGGGAAGTAACCTTTTGAGTATTAAAAAAAAGTCATCTCTTTGACTGCCTGCTAAAAACGTAAAGATAATCACAATAATACAATTCGGTGTTTTGGGGTTTGACTATTTTAAAGTTCGGCTATTTGCACTTGCCGCACCACACAAGCATCAATTTTATGTTGTAAGATAACCTGATTGTTGACAAGGTTGAGCATGAAGACTAAATAAGCCTTATTGTTTGATCCAAATAACAAATAAGTCTAATTGCTATAGTCGAATTAGTCAGCATGTCAATTGGACAAAGTGAACAAAAAAATTAGCAGACCGGGAAAAGAAAAAGCCTCAACTTCTATTTATTTTCTTTTGCAATTTAAGGTGATCTGTTTTTTTTTTAATCCGAACTCTGGTTTACTTTAGATCATTGGCTTTTTTTCAAATGTCGTTAACTGATTATCATTGCAGGATATGACGCAGTTCTCTCAAGGCTTCCATCAATCAGTGTCGTTCAACGGACAGAACCCGATGGGACAGGGCGGTGGAGGATTGTCACAAGCAGAGATGCTCTCCCAGGTAAAAATTAAGATTATGTGTGTAAAATGATTCGAAAGTTTGTCTACTGGCGAGTAAAGCAATGGCTCGGGGACACATCGGTCTCTTTTTTTTTCAGGAGAGTTTCTACATTGACGACATGCAGTCGCAAGGAGATGTGCTGCTGCTGTCACAGGACTCTAACGTGCACAGTGGACAGGACAGGTCCTACCTCTCATTCAACTCACAATTCTAAACTAGGGCCAGCAGCAGCCACCCTCAAGGCGCACTGCAGACCACACCTCTCACACGCTGGCTGAAAGGCTAGAGAAGGTCACGGTACCCTCCCCACTAAGTGAAACGAGAAAGTGAGTTGGGTTCAATCAGGTGCCAAGAGAGGTGCAGTGTGTCATTTTGTGCTGTGGCTGACATGAAAAAGTGTCTCTTGAAGATCCGAGACCGCTCGGACGAGAATATAACAAAAACTACAATGACAGATGAATTTAACGTGACTATTTTCATTGAATAAACTCATTTGTTTGATCCTATTTGAAAGTGAACAGTAGCTTATACTAGATTTCACTGTTTGCTATTGTAAATATGTAAGCTGCAAGCAACCACTGGAGGTTTGGTATCCTTCTAAACAGTCATCCCAATCAAAACTATTTCCCAAATATCATTATGCTCAAATAAATTGCGGTATATTTTGAATAACGAACTGAATGGTGATTAGGTTAACAACGAGAACGAGGTGATATGTTTAAGCAGCTTGTAACCCTACGTCATATAAAGTCAACTGGCGAGCGAGAGGCGAAGGCTATTGTAGTTAGAAAGTTTCTGTAGTATACTCTGAAGCTTCTAAGAGCAGTGGGAAAGTTGAGGCGTGTCTGTTCATTCATCTGACAGCTTCTTGTCGGCGGATTAATGGTAGAAAGGCGAAAATTCAGTAAATCAAAACCCACGGAAACGTAAAATAAGGATAGCTGGTTGCTGTGCAAGTAGCACAGAATGTTCCGACCATAGTTATACACAAGCAAAGCTGTGTGATTGTTTGAGCACTTTTTTCCAACCTAAGTTGCAAATAATGAACACTCAAAATGTGTTCATTTTGATCAATAACCAGCTATTAAGTACAGCCAATGCTAAGGATATTAAGACAGACTCTTATATTACAAATAGCACTTAAGCTTCAAGGTATCATGGATCTGCACAGCCTTATTTCAATACGGAGAGAAAGCTTTAATACAAAATAATTTTGAAATTGATTTTCTTTATTACGTCTTAGGTTGCCAAATTCCATAATTTAAGTTCCACTGTTCGGCGAATGAAGCTAAGTGACCTTGAATTTTTGCTCCAAATTAGTCTATCTGCGAATGAATCAAACTGAAATTCTCCACGTGAACAGGTTTTTGCAGAGCTTTGTTATTGCAGCTCGAATCAAGCGTGAAAAGCCCATTGAATGATAATAAAAACTGATGTCTCAACATATTTTTAATGTAAGATTTTCATTCATTTAATGTAAGACTCAGTTTTCATGTTCAATCAGAATAGTTACGAAATAATTATTTCTGAGTTTTACTTGCTGTTCACCTTTTTGTCTTTTAGATTAGATAGCAAGCGTTTTAGCTCCTTGTCTTCGTTTTTTCCTTGCTCAGATTCAAGCCCTCTTAGTCGAAAATAAAATTCTCTCAGAATTGAAAAAAAATGGAAAAACGACGGAAAAACCAGGACAATAAAGTTTCACTGGTTGTAAAGGGGGTTTTCAGATTAAAAGTTTTCAATGCGTTTTTTTTATACTCAAATATAAACTGCGCGAAAACTTGAAGTTAGTATTTTTCAAACTTTGCGGTCAAATTTTGAAAAACTACCTTTTGAAAAAAAAATTAGATGAAAAAGTATTTTATGCGAGTTTGCAAAAATTTAAATTATAAAAAATTGTTGTTTGGCAAAAAAAAAACAGTTTGAAGCCTGATATTTTTTGCTGCCACTCATAGCTGTGTTTCGATAAAGTAATTTGTCAAAGTTTCGATTAAGAAATTTTGACATTTTAATTAGGAAATTTTGTCGGCTTTTTTTAAAATTCAGGCAAACAGTATTGTTGTCCTGGGCTGAATTTTTCGTTAACTATGATCTCTTTTTGAGTTATTATTAGGGTTTAAAAACTGACAGTTTTGCCAGTTTGGTATAATTGTCGCGCGTTATCTTTCACGCTGTTTAAGCGTTGGCGGCCAATTAAATCGGTCCAAATGAAGTTGAAGCGAACAGTTTATTTTTATTATTGCGTTACCAGACTTAAAATATGTCACTTTGTACGTAGCGTGAGGGGGGGGGGGGGGGTCAAAACATGAAGAAAAAATATGAAGTTCTCTTACAAATTTCAAATGACGCCCGATGAAATAAAACAATTTTTTTACTTTAAACGGCAATCAGCACTCAGGGTTTTACCTTGATACAAGCAGTCTAGTTCATATTGTAAGCAACATTTTTTGCTTTGGTGAGGCTTATAAATTATAGTGAGGACGTACTTCGATTTGTCTAATCGGGCGTCAAGTAAATGTTTTTGGCGTTTCGAATTTTGCCCAGAAACTTAATTAATAATATTAATGCAATTCTTCTTTAGTGGGTTAACTTTAGGGAAATTGGGGATTGAGATAGCATTCCATGCTAAAACAGGGAAAATAACAAAAACTGTTCCGACCATTGAAAATAAAGAGGAGTTTAAGATTCGAATCTGTATTAATTTTTTTCCACGCAAAATGAAGTACCACAAATAATCATCGAAATGTGCCGAATCATATAATATATGAAAAACCGTTCAGTCGTGATTCGATTTACACAGAAAAATTTGAAAACATTTTTCTCAATGTTGAGAAAAACACGTTGCTTTTGAAATTGTTGATTTTGGGTTAACTTCGAGCAAATGAAGTAAGCGAGCAGACCTAATTGTTTTTCAATCAAAAAAATACTACAAATAGTCATCGTTATGGTTGGAATGATTTATGATATCAAAGCTTTTTCAGTGTTGATGCAAACGACAGTAAAAAAAATCGAAAAGATCCCAATATCGAAAAAAACTGGTTTGAGTTATTTTGAATTTTAGTCGAGTTCCGAAAGAACAAAGCAAATAAATGGATTGCTGTGCATCGCCATTTTAGATATCTTTGATTTTTTAATTTGTTATTCTTTCGAATCATTTTTTGACAAAAAGTGTTGCCTGATATGGCTGTTTTTCTGTGACTGTCGAATACGCTAAACTTCAGGTTTTCATCAGATCTTTTCATCAAACCGCGCTGAAAAAAATAAGCATTTTTATGTGCTTTTTTAATAACAAATTAGTTGGAGTATTCTGTGCCAATTGCACAGCAACCGGATATCCTTTTTATAGTTTAATTTTTGCCGATCTGACTGTTTTTTTTATAAGCATCCCAGATATCAGAGCTGTTTATAACCAGACTGCTCGCAGGGCAAACCGACTGCCACATAATCAGAATCGATCAGTTTTTGTTGAAAAAAGTCGAAAAATTAGATAATATAAAACATCAAGTGAGCGTCGTATGAAGTTGCTACAGCGGATAAGTTTGCCTCAATTTAATGAATATCAATGTTGTTGTGCGGGCCGCGGGGTAGTTTACCAAAAAAAAATTGCGTTACGCTTTGAGTTTCACAGTACACATAAAATAGCCCAGCGCAGTCAAATGGGCAATTTTCAAACCCTCAAGTTTTCTACAAAAAATATGATTTAAAAATTTTTCTCATATTTGAATTATGAAAGTCAATATCGTCGATGGGGTTTTTAAAAAGTTTATTGAAAACTGATATTTTGAATGCCAAAACCGACTGAAGAAATACACTATTCCAATCCTAAAGTTTTTTTTTCAGGGTCTAGGACCAAATAGTAGTCTAGAATCAATTTTTAAGGATCTAGAATCAAATAATCCGAGAAAAAATCCCAGGGCAGATTTCATCGAATACAGTATCTTAGAATAACACTTCAATCTTTTATCCTGTAAAAATAAATAAAACATTCTTCTGGATTATAATTTTCTTGAGTTGAGTGCCACTGAAATATGCATCGCCATTTTACTTTTCCAAAAAGTTTTAACTAGCTACGTGGCACAGTCAGCAAGACAAATTAATGAGAAAATCTGTTGATCCATTGAGCGTGCAATTGTATCCTAAATATGATGATTTGTGGGATCGATTAAATCAATTTCTTTTAGAAAAACAAGACACAAAAATTCCGCACTCCCACTGTAGGTATGATGAGAACAGAAGTCCTCGAATACTAAAAAACCGATGCGTCAAAAACTCAGATCTCAAGGACCAAAAAATGTTGATTTTGAGGGTTTTAAGTCTTAAATTTTTCTAATGTTAATTTTTGTTAATTTATTAATACTAACAAGTCGTGCATTCCAAGCAAATTCTTTAGTTTGACAGGTACGAAACCATTTTGCGTGACCTTTAATCAAACACCCATAATCTATTAAACAGTTGACTCTTAAAGAAATTTGGTCTTATGGGGGATTGAATTCGCTGGATTTTGCCTAAGAGGTTTGAGCCTGGGACATTAAAGACACCGACCACTTGTTTTTCTGTAGAACTTTTGCATCTTATTCTTGACCTTCTGATCACCGGGTGGGGAAGAAAAATGAATAAATATAATTGATTATTAAACTATTTCACAAAGAGCGTACTTTTGCTGAATCAAAAAACTTCAAATTAGAAAAAAATATATCTAAGAACAAAGATAGCTGAATGTTGTAACAAGTAGCACAGAAAATCCCGCCTTTTCAAAAACCTAAAAAAGTTCTTTTTTCCTCAAAACGTGTCGTTTTTTGTTCCTAATGTATTGAAAGGATATGATCAAAAGCTTAGAATTTATGCATTTTCAATAGTAACTATAAATTATCATATTTACTAAGCAATTCCTTCGCAAAATAATTGGAAAAACGACGGAAAAACCAGGACAATAAAGTTTCACTGGTTGTAAAGGGGGTTTTCAGATTAAAAGTTTTCAATGCGTTTTTTTATACTCAAATATAAACTGCGCGAAAACTTGAAGTTAGTATTTTTCAAACTTTGCGGTCAAATTTTTGAAAAACTACCTTTTGAAAAAAAATTTAGATGAAAAAGTATTTTATGCGAGTTTGCAAAAGTTTAAATTATAAAAAATTGTTGTTTGGCAAAAAAAAACAGTTTGAAGCCTGATATTTTTTGCTGCCACTCATAGCTGTGTTTCGATAAAGTAATTTGTCAAAGTTTCGATTAAGAAATTTTGACATTTTAATTAGGAAATTTTGTCGGCTTTTTTCAAAATTCAGGCAAACAGTATTGTTGTCCTGGGCTGAATTTTTCGTTAACTATGATCTCTTTTTGAGTTATTATTGGGGTTTAAAAACTGACAGTTTTGCCAGTTTGGTATAATTGTCGCGCGTTATCTTTCACGCTGTTTAAGCGTTGGCGGCCAATTAAATCGGTCCAAATGAAGTTGAAGCGAACAGTTTATTTTTATTATTGCGTTACCAGACTTAAAATATGTCACTTTGTACGTAGCGTGAGGGGGGGGGTCAAAACATGAAGAAAAAATATGAAGTTTTCTTACAAATTTCAAATGACGCCCGGTGAAATGAACAATTTTTTTAATTTAACTGGCAATCAGCACTCAGGGTTTTACCTTGATACAAGCAGTCTAGTTCATATTGTAAGCAACGTTTTTTGCTTTGGTGAGGCTAATAAATTATAGTGAGGACGTACTTCGATTTGTCTAATCGGGCGTCAAGTAAATGTTTTTGGCGTTTCGAATTTTGCCCAGAAACTTAATTAATAATATTAATGCAATTCTTCTTTAGTGGGTTAACTTTAGGGAAATTGGGGATTGAGATAGCATTCCATGCTAAAACAGGGAAAATAACAAAAACTGTTCCGACCATTGAAAATAAAGAGGAGTTTAAGATTCGGATGTGTATTAATTTTTTTCCACGCAAAATGAAGTACCACAAATAATCATCGAAATGTGCCGAATCATATATTATATGAAAAACCGTTCAGTCGTGATTCGATTTACACAGAAAAATTTGAAAACTTTTTTCTCAATGTTGAGAAAAACACGTTGCTTTTGAAATTTTTGATTTTGGGTTAACTTCGAGCAAATAAAGTAAGCGAGCAGACCTAATTGTTTTTCAATCAAAAAAATACTACAAATAGTCATCGTTATGGTTGGAATGATTTATGATATCAAAGCTTTTTCAGTGTTGATTCAAACGACAGTAAAAAAAAATCGAAAAGATCCCAATATCGAAAAAAACTGGTTTGAGTTATTTTGAATTTTAGTCGAGTTCCGAAAGAACAAAGCAAATAAATGGATTGCTGTGCATCGCCATTTTAGATATCTTTGATTTTTTAATTTGTTATTCTTCCGAATCATTTTTTGACAAAAAGTGTTGCCTGATATGGCTGTTTTTCTGTGACTGTCGAGTACGCTAAACTTCAGGTTTTCATCAGATCTTTTCATCAAACCGCGCTGAAAAAAATAAGCATTTTTATGTGCTTTTTTAATAACAAATTAGTTGGAGTATTCTGTGCCAATTGCACAGCAACCGGATATCCTTTTTATAGTTTAACTTTTGCCGATCTGACTGTTTTTTTTATAAGCATCCCAGATATCAGAGCTGTTTATAACCAGACTGCTCGTAGGGCAAACCGACTGCCACATAATCAGAATCGATCAGTTTTTGTTGAAAAAAGTCGAAAAACCAGAAAAATTAGATAATATAAAACATCAAGTGAGCGTCGTATGAAATTGCTACAGCGGATAAGTTTGCCTCAATTTAATGAATATCAATGTTGTTGTGCGGGCCGCGGGGTAGTTTACCAAAAAAAAATTGCGTTACGCTTTGAGTTTCACAGTACACATAAAATAGCCCAGCGCAGTCAAATGGGCAATTTTCAAACCCTCAAGTTTTCTACAAAAAATATGATTTAAAAATTTTTCTCATATTTGAATTATGAAAGTCAATATCGTCGATGGGGTTTTTAAAAAGTTTATTGAAAACTGATATTTTGAATGCCAAAACCGACTGAAGAAATACACTATTCCAATCCTAAAGTTTTTTTTTCAGGGTCTAGGACCAAATAGTAGTCTAGAATCAATTTTTAAGGATCTAGAATCAAATAATCCGAGAAAAAATCCCAGGGCAGATTTCATCGAATACAGTATCTTAGAATAATACTTCAATCTTTTATCCTGTAAAAATAAATAAAACATTCTTCTGGATTATAATTTTCTTGAGTTGAGTGCCACTGAAATATGCATCGCCATTTTACTTTTCCAAAAAGTTTTAACTAGCTACGTGGCACAGTCAGCAAGACAAATTAATGAGAAAATCTGTTGATCCATTGAGCGTGCAATTGTATCCTAAATATGATGATTTGTGGGATCGATTAAATCAATTTCTTTTAGAAAAACAAGACACAAAAATTCCGCACTCCCACTGTAGGTATGATGAGAACAGAAGTCCTCGAATACTAAAAAACCGATGCGTCAAAAACTCAGATCTCAAGGACCAAAAAATGTTGATTTTGAGGGTTTTAAGTCTTAAATTTTTCTAATGTTAATTTTTGTTAATTTATTAAAACTAACAAGTCGTGCATTCCAAGCAAATTCTTTAGTTTGACAGGTACGAAACCATTTTGCGTGACCTTTAATCAAACACCCATAATCTATTAAACAGTTGACTCTTAAAGCAATTTGGTCTTATGGGGGATTGAATTCGCTGGATTTTGCCTAAGAGGTTTGAGCCTGGGACATTAAAGACACCGACCACTTGTTTTTCTGTAGAACTTTTGCATCTTATTCTTGACCTTCTGATCACCGGGTGGGGAAGAAAAATGAATAAATATAATTGATTATTAAACTATTTCACAAAGAGCGTACTTTTGCTGAATCAAAAAACTTTAAATTAGAAAAAAATATATCTAAGAACAAAGATAGCTGAATGTTGTAACAAGTAGCACAGAAAATCCCGCCTTTTCAAAAACCTAAAAAAGTTCTTTTTTCCTCAAAACGTGTCGTTTTTTGTTCCTAATGTATTGAAAGGATATGATCAAAAGCTTAGAATTTATGCATTTTCAATAGTAACTATAAATTATCATATTTACTAAGCAATTCCTTCGCAAAATAATTGGAAAAACGAACAAAAAAATTAAACACTTCAACAAAAAAGTTTTCATTTTTCTGCAGAGTATTTCCTTTTTCATTCACAAAGGTTTCAACCAAAAAAAGGCTAAGAAACTTCAAAACTTGTTTTACTAGCGTAACACTAAGTTTTCACGGCCTAATAAAAGCTTATCGTCGCCATATTATACGCCTGCTCACTCGCTTTATTCGCAAAAAAATCGAGGATAAGTTTAATCTAGGAGAATGATTAGAAAAAGTAAGATAAATGATCGAACATTCTGACGCCAATGGGGGAGCCAATGATGAAGATTGATTTCATTTGAATGAAAAGGGAACACGCTTCGCAGGGTTTTATTGGTGGAAACACCTGCCGAGAATGGGATGAAACCATAACTGCACACAGAATGGCGTCCGCAGTAGATGCAAGTTTCTGCGATATAACCTTCCCGAAAAAACTGTTCAAACTGAGTGTTAAGAAGGGAGATTGGAGCAATTTGGAGCGATGGTTCCAACAGACTTTTCCCTCTGTGCCTGAAGAAGTGGTCAAACTATTTTGCGCCAAGTCTTCTGCTGCTGAATCAGGTGAATTGAAATATATAGAATCAATAAACAAGTGTAGCAAGTTTGATATTCCAGTAGCGTATTTTACTATCATTGTACAGGGTGTTTCCAAAAACTTCCTCAGAAAAAGTCAAACTTCTCATTAAGTACGTGAACTGAGTTGCTGAGCGTTTGGCCCACCATTGAAAGTAGATGAAAAATATTTTACACTTTTGAGAAAGTGTTTCACACAATAAGATACTTGAAAAGGCGTGAATTTTCTACACGCACTTTGAAAAAAAAGTCTTTGATCAGGGCAAATGATCTGACTGCCCTTATCTGGTCTCGGATATTTATACGTACGGAAAACTAGGTTGTGATTAGTAGTAGCGTGCCGAGGGGGGCGAACGCCCTTCTTACCGTCAATTCTTGTTGCCAATTTTTTCCAAAGGCTCTCCCCCCTTTTGATATAGTTTTGCGAGATCCATTTTTGGCTGGTCAACATCAAAAAGTTGTAGTAAGGCGCCTTTGGCGCCAATATAACTAAACTTGAGAGGGGAGCGCGCCGAAAAAAAACGCAAGTTTTTGATCAAATATATTTCAAAAATTCTCAGAGCATCATTTTTAGCAAGTTTTTTGAAAAATTTGCCTGCGGAGCAGAAAGTTTTTGACACATTAGGGTCTTTAGAGTATTTTCGGAGAGCTCGGAAAATCAAATATATCGATCTAAAAAAATCTTTCAAAATTTTTTTTCGAAAAACCAGCCCTCCCCTTTCCTAGAAAAATTTCTGCGCACGCTACCGGTCACAGACAGGCAGTTTTCATGATCGATTAGCTTGTCTCAAGTCAATTTGGATTGATTTTGAGGGCGGAATAATTCGCGCTATGCTTTCACCATCATAAACATTTTGAAACTGAGCATAATTTAGGCTAAATTATGGCATATTAGGCAGCTTTCAAATCTTGGGAAACACACTAAGCATAATCGCAGCTAAAATAAAACTTTTTGAATTTCAACGCAAGGAGTTGAAATTTTCATTTTAAAACATTTTTCGTTGAAATTGTTTTATCGACTGCAAAAATTGGTCTGAATAAAAATACTTCAAGAAAATTCATTTTAATCATTTCTTCGAAAGACGGATAAAAATCAATATTGGTACTTCGAGATTAATATTGCCTAGACTTTTGATCACTGAAATACCAATGACGGAATTTGAGCACCAATGACAAAATACTAGCCTATTTGAAAAACCATTAGAACGCTCTTTTTTAAAGCGGATTTTCAAAGTTGTTGAAGGCAGGAAACAAAAGTTTGATTTGAGTTTCAAAGTTTTGCAAATCAAATTGATAAACGACACAACTAATTAGAAACTGAGTAAAAACTGTGACATTCATGGTTAGTTTTGACTGATAAATGCGTATTTTTTGAAAAAACGTGAAAATAGTTTCTGATAACTATGATTTTTTTCCAAATTACCTCATTATTCATTTATCTGATTTCGCTGCTGAAAAAGCAACTACATAAAGAAATAAATTTTCCTAAGTCCTATTCATTCACAGTCTGAGTAACTCAGCTCAAATTATTTTTTTACATGTTATCTTGTGTTCTAAAGTGGCTTGAAGTTTAGGTTCAGGAAGTTTAAGGACATGGATTTGAATAATGTAAATACAATGCTTTGGATCAATTAGGTTGGATTCATCAGAGATCATAGAAATGCCCTTCTGTACAAGGGCGGATTTAGAAGGAGGCGGGGAGGCGGACGCCCTTTCCCTCAGAGATTTGACCACCTCATCAACCAAATTGTCCCTCCTTTGGCATTATTTTAAACATCCATGCTTGGCCGACTAACCCTAAAAGTCTCCTGGGGCCCCAAAATACACTAAATTGAAGGAAAGCGCGCCATAAAACGAAATTTTTGGATCAAAATTTTCCAAAAAGTGCCTAATAACGGATTTTTCAGCTCTCGAATTTTTCAGCTTATCTTCCTGAGAACCCTACCAATGCCATAATTGCTTAGAGGTTGTAACAATTCTTAGGCAAACCTTGTGCTAATTCAATGAATTTCACATCCGCAAAACCCCAACGATGATTTAATAACTCTGCACTACAATTTTCAATTCACACTACAATCAAATTAATTCCATAGATGCTTAAGTCTCCCATGTAGTTGTTTCATGTTGGTAGGAAAGGCGTTTTTGATAATTAATAACGCTAGAGGTCGCCAAGCCTCCTAAAAGGCGTTATTGATGCAAACAACTGCTCCAAACTGGTCGAAACTTTTGTTCACAGGGGTTTCTGAAATAGACTATGGTAAAGTGTACATCATGAGCGAAATTCTGGTAAAATCGAGAGAAAGTCCAGAAATATCTAAAACTGTTCGGATCAAAATTGAGGAATCGCTCAAGTTCCTGACGCACGACACTTCATATCGATGCATGGCCAGTTATTTTTTCATCCTGCTACATTTGCCTGTGTTCTTCGAATCAATGACTCATTACTTATTCAAAAAAGTTTTCGCAGTCATTAAAAAAGCCCCGAGAAAAGTGCAGCATCTTTTGCGCGAACTATTCAAATCAGTGACGACAACCGACTCTGTTAAACTTGTAGTCCCACAACTCAAAATTTTCTTACGGTCCCAATTGGCTTCGAACCCTGGCGTCAATGTAGATTGCGCAACAGCTTCAGACACCGACGGAAACGGGGCTAGGACACAAAATTTCGAACTTGTATGTTGGTTGCTGCAACTTGTTTACACCTCGAGCGACTCGGTCGTTAAACAGTATCCGGATATAGATACTAAGTTGTTCCCATGTGACTTCATAAAAGACGAACTCCTAGTTGAACACTACAATAGCTGGATCACTAGAGGACGAACCAGTGACACTGAGTTCTCAATCTGTAACTTCTCGTTTCTCATCAGCTCAGTGGAAAAGAGAAAACTCCTTACTAAAGTATCGGAGGGTGAAATGATTTCGATCGCGGAGAGCTACTTTAAGGAACAGGTTCAGAAGGCAACCAAAAAGCAAAGGCAGAAAAATAAAGAAATCCAAATTGATATAGGGCAAATATTCCTGGAAATCAAAGTAAGGAGGGATCATTTGCTTACAGATTCTCTCAAAGCTATCAAAGAAAACCGAGAGAACTTGCGCAGGAAGCTCAAGATCGAGTTTGACAATGAGCAAGGGATTGATTTAGGAGGCTTAACCAAAGAGTGGTTTATGCTAGTAATGAAAGAACTGACCGAGTGTGATGAGTCGAAAGGTCAGAGGTCAATTTTTACTACCAATGAAGAGAGAATGTTCTACTGGTTCAATGGGAGCAACAAGAACCTTGAGAGGTACTACTTGTTTGGATGTCTGGTTGGCCTGGCTATTCACAACTCCACAATTCTGGATGTGAACTTGCCCCTGTTCTATTTCAAAAAACTACTCAGTCCAGCTGTCTATCAAACGAACGCGGTGGCCATGGAGAAGTCGGCTGTTGGATCAATAGAAGTATCACTCGAGTACCTGAGGGACTTCCAGCCTGTTGTGATGAAGAGCTTGCAGGAGCTTCTAGAATATTCTGGGAATGTTGAAGAAGATTTTGGACTAGACTTCACTACAAGGCTAGTAGGAGCTAACTGCATCTGAAACCTATAAACTATAACCTAGACTTCACTACAAGGCTAGTAGGAGCTAACTGCATCTGAAACCCATAACCTTTAACCTATAAAAAAATTTAATAAGAATTATTTAATAAAACTAACATGTTCTTTAAAATTATAGAAATGAATTTGTCACATGGAAAAAGTATACTTTCAAATTCAGAAAAAGTCAACACAATATTAAAGATTGTTTTTCAACTTTTATGAACTGACTGAATATTCTCATTTTAGATTGCTTGGCCGATTAAAGATATTTTTACAAGATAATTTTAATAACGGCAGAGTTTGTGACTCCGTCTAAAATTGGTCGAGCTATGAAAAAACTTGGAGCCTCTAGCTCGTTTCAGCGTGCATGAGAATGGGTCAGTGAGCACATTCAGTCTGAAGAGTGAGGGGAGTAGAGTGGGTGTGACGAATGAGAACAGGAAAGAGTACGTGGACAGGTACTTGGAGTTCTGTCTCAACAGATATGCCCACACTCAGTTCACAGCCTTCTACAAGGGATTCCACCAAGTGTGCGACTCACAGGTCTGCATCATAATAAAACCAATTTATAAAATAGAGAATGACAAGTAATTGATTTGAAACTTTTTTTCTTAATTTTCTTAGATTTCTTCAGACATTCCCCTCTGCAAAAGGAAATTGGGAGATTCGTTACTTGGTACAAAAATTACATATGCTTAACCTTTGATATAATTCATTATAGGAGTGACAATTCGTTATTAGGTATCGGCGACCATGTTGCGACCTAATTAGGTAGCCGGAATGGACTTTCTGCGACCAAAACTTCATACACCCGCAAGAGGCATGAGTCGCACAGAGTAGCAACATAGCTAACAATGGGTCGCGCAAAATCGCAACATGGGTCCTGCAAAGTGGCAAAATGAGTCGCGCAAAAAATTAGTCACAACATGAGTCGCGCAAAGTCGCAACATGAGTCGCGCATTATAAAAACTTTCGAGCAGTTTAAGTAATGGAATTGATGTCTAACTGTTCCCACACCCTAAAGTGAAATTCCCAAACTTAAACACCTCACTCATATTCTTTAATACCGCACCCTTGTCACTTAAAAGGTGTCATTGTCCTTTTGATAGTATGTTACGATGTTAAACGTGAATCGGCTAAATTTTTTTCTTTTCAAACTCAATTTCGAACGCAACATTCCACGCATTTTAGAAAATCAACATTCATACTGCATATTCTCAATACTTGCATGTGTGGCTGAAGTGTTTCCGAAATTATGGTCCTCTTGAAATTTTAGTAAGACTTATTAAAATAATATTGCCTGCCGAATAAACAAATAACGGAGAGTTATCCACTTTGCGTGAAATTCGGGCCGCTTTTTTTCTCGTGAAATAGTTAGATATGTCAAAAAGTCGCCCTAAACAACAAATTTCAAGTTAAAAAGATAAAAGAGCTGTTTTTCTCGATAAAAGTTTCGAGCACAGATGCAACGACTCGTGTCCTGTATCAGCAAACGTTTTGACAATTCGTAGCTCTTAATGTCGGTGTACGAGTGAAAAGTAAAATTTTTGGTTAACAACGAGAACTAAAGCTACTACAATACGAGACCAAGCTGTGCACTGGAGAGGCGCACAATTTGGTGTCTGTAGGTTAGTTGTATCTGGAGACAAGCCTTGGAACAAGTTCTTGTTCCAAAAAGTTAAAGGGTTCCGCTTACAAAAATCCATCGGATTCTGCGTAAAATTACCTGTAGCGTTAATTACGTCGAAATATTTGTTTTATTTTGGATTCAGCAGCTTTAAAAAAATTGTGCAGAGCTGAAGTGATGTCCGCTAATTTAAGTGGAATCCGCAAAAGTTGTATGCAGAATTCGCGAATAAAAGCAAACTCTGCAATTTGCTTATTAAACTAAGCTGAATCAGTTTTTGCGCTAGAAACCAGTACAGGGTTTCAATTTTTATCTAGCAAAGACGGGCTTTAAAAACAAGAACTTCATCAGCATCAGCGAAATCCACGAAAAATATTTAAATGATTGGTTAAAAAAACCGTGCTTGTACCCTTTAGTATTTCGGATAAATTTCAAGCAAGCAGTTTTTTGTGATCCTAGTCTGAGAAACACAACACCACACATCACCGAACAAAATATCTGGAATTTTGAGAGAAATTGTTTCATAGAAAGAAATAAATCGAGCTTATGTACTTTTAAAGTTTCATATAGCGCAAAGTGTATTGTCAAAAATCATGCGTCGCCCTGAACAACAAAGTTCAAGTTAAAATGATAAGAGAGCTATTTTTCTCAATAAAAGTTTCGAGCACAGATGCAACGACTCGTGTCCTGTATCAGCAAAAGTTTTGACAATTCGTAGCTCTTAATGTCAGTGAACGAGGGAAAAGTAGAATTTTTGATTAACAACAAGAACTATAGCTACTACAATACGAGACCAAGCTGTGCACTGGAGAGGCACACAATTTGGTGTCTGTAGGTTGGTTGAATCTGGAGATAAGTCTTGGAACAAATAAGTTCCTGTTTCAAAATGTAATCCAGCGGATTTCGCGTACAATCACCTGTAGCGTTAATTATGTCGAAACATTTGTTTTCGTGACCATAGTTTGGGAAGCACAACACCACACATCACCGAACAAAAAATTTAGAATTTTTGAGAGAAGTTTTTTCAATGAAAGAAATAATTTGAGCTTTTGTAATTTTTAAGTTTCATATAGCAAATTCAACGGAAGTTTCATCTATTTGAAAGAATTCAGCCTTTTAATTTTAATGGACTTGAGATGCAAACCAAGGTAAGCTGTGAATTAAAAAAGAAAATGAACAGAACGTAATGTCAGTAGTGAGATGCATCCAATTTTGAGCTGTAATTCGGAACGATCCGAACAAAATGTACTGTCAGTGTTTGAAATTTTTCGGTGCGCTCTATGAATGAACAAACTGAACGGAACAAATTGTCAGTAATTCAGAAAAAAATTAAGGATCATTTTAAGTGTTCCCCGTTTTTGATCCTTGTTTACTAATTCCTCTGCATGTATTTTTTATGCCCACACCAGGCCTAAGAAGCTTTTGAAATCAGCAAACAAAATGCAGATCTATCTCTCTTACAATTTGCTGCTTCGCTTACATTTCCACCAGCGTAATCCACCTACAATTTTCGGTTTCCGGTAACAGTTTCGAGTTTTGCAACGAGGCAATTTTACTATAAACTTTTGTAAACTTGTTTTTGGGCTTCACAAACTGTTTGGATTTTGCAAATGCTGCGGATTCCGCAGATTAGCCTGTTTTTGGAGTAATTTCAGTGTTTTAGCAATTTGTTTGTGAAATCCAAAACAGCAATGAAGATTTTAAAAATTAATTTTGGCCTGTTGCTGAATCCGCTTACAATTCACAAAATGCACAGTTTGGACTCTTTGTAGTGTGATTTTACTTCAGGTCATGATGCTGCTGAGTTCTTTTGACCTCCAGAGAATTGTGATTGGTGAGTCGTCCTCCCTCGATTTTGTCCAACTGAGGAGGGTGTGTACTTACGCAGGTGGATTTGATGACAACTGCACAACAGTTGAGAACTTTTGGAAAGTGGTGAAAGTATTGGACGAGAGTGAACAGAGTTCGTTTCTGTCATTTCTGACTGGATGCAAGAGACTTCCGATTGGAGGTTTCTCCGAAATGAAATTCACTCTGAAACAAGTGATTGATGCTCCTGAGGGAAGTTTACCAGTGGCTCATACGTGCTTCAACGAACTGCAAATGTCAAAATACACTGATGCTGAGGAGTTGAGGGAAAAACTTTTGTATGCCATCAACAACTGTCAGGGATATGGACTCGAATAATTGGCTCAAAATGCAAATCTATAAATTGTCTGATATCTAGATAGGCTTAGATGTATTTTTTTGATGCTAACGGTCGCTTCATTTAAAGATATAAAAAAAATTTCATTTGCAAGAAATATCTAGTTGTCAAACTGTCCCACGAGAAGATAGGCGTTTTCATGGGTACCAAAAATTTATTTCTAATTTTTGAAACAGTTAAACGTAGCTTACAAAAAACAATCAAAACACATTCTACTTTCAAAACCAACAAGACTGCTCGTATCAGGGTGAAGCCCTGAATGTTCCGACTGCCTTTTAAGTTATATTGAGCAGAAAAAAACATGAAAAATTTGAATGTAAAAAAACTAATTTTTTTTAATTGAGATTTTTTGTAAAAATCATCGCCCCACACGCAATAATAATTACAAAATGATAAGTTTCGCTCCTATTAACAAATCAGGTGTGGCATATAAGCTTCCTTGAACCAACTTGGAACGATTTCTTAAAAGGATTAAATCTCCGCTTACGCGTTAATAGCGCGAAATATACCGCGCATTAATTGTCTCAAATCGGTCAAAATTGCAATTTTTAAACCCCCATAACTTCACGAAAAATGATCATAGGTGAAATATATTTTCAAATTTAAGTTCAGGACTACAATACCTTTTGAATAATATTAAAAAATTCCGTCAAAAACGGCTAGTTGAAAAGTCGAAATTTGTCTGAAGAAAAAAACCCACCCGAGCACAAATATTCTGTTACTTTCGTTACAAAAGTCGGAACAAGTGTAAAAGAGAAATTTGGAAGAGTCGAAAAGGGAACTAATATGATCAACCAACTTGACTCAAAACAATTTGGAATGATTTTAGATTTTGAATGATAAATTTATGAAAGCCAACTTAAATTAGTCCAGAACACAACCGATATGTTCATTTTAAACCTCCTACGTTTTCATCAAAATTGCATATAAAATATCTTTTCAGTTTTCACATCTAAGCCCAGCTAGTTGATGCTTTCATTTTGGTTTGAGAATGTTTCGTTAAAAATTATTGTTTCTATCGCCGAAATCAGTCAGAATTAGAAAAAACTACAACCAGCATAATTATTCGTATATATATTTTTTTGAAAATTCGATCAACAAGACTGCTAATTGCAGGGCCACGCCCTAAAATATGCTAAAAGAGCCGACTGTCTTCTTAAGTGTCTCAATAACTTTTGGTATGTAAAGAACGAATTCAAAATTTATGTAAAGTGGTTATAATAAAACATTTATATATTCTGCCCCGCACTGAAACATTCTGCCATTTCCATTGAGAGCCAGAACAAATTACGCAGGAGAAAACACTGAAAAAAAATAGAAAAAAAAAGACAGAAGAAAGATTTCTAATTTGTTTCGAACTCTTGTTTTCGATTTACAGGTTTGATGGAATAAACCCTAATTTCTTAAAGCTATGTAACTAGAGTTTTTAGTAGCACCTGTTTGATGATAAATTTCTTTGAAGAAGCAACTGAGCAAAAACTTAATTGACCAAGACTGCTTTCAAAGATTATGAAAGCGGAATGGTTCTTCTTCAAACGCAAGTTCAAGCTAAAGTGATACGCATCAAACACATGTCAATTAAAAGCCTGCAACACATTACTGTTCCGACTTTCGAAGAACACGAAACATTTATTCTCAGTTTTTTTATTTAGTCAATTTTCGCCTGTCGAAATAATAGTTTTCAACAGAAATTTCTTATACCACATTGAAGATATCGACTTCGTGATTTCAAATTTAAAAGATATTTCACCTCCGATCATTTTTTGTTAAGTTTTGGGGTTTTGAAAATTGCCAAATTGGCCATGTTTCGAACAAAATTATGCGCGCTTTGAAGAGTTTATTCATAATCTTTAGAGCGTAACGCGAATTATCCCGCACAACAAACTCGTTCCAAATTGATTTGAGGCTAGCTAATTGGTCCCCGTATTTATTTTGTGCGACTCAAATTTTTCCACTTTGATTTTGCCCACAATTTATAGGTTTTCAATATTTTTTTCCAAAAACTATTCGATATGAACTAAGGTACAGCCGGAGCAGTCAAGGCTTTGCCCTCATATACGTGCAGTCTTGCCTGTATCAAATACCTCTTATGAATTCAATTAGGAATAAATTTTGAGGAAGAGTGCCCTGAAAGCTAGTAGTTGAAAATTCAAAATGTGTATGAAGAAAAGACTTCATCCAGCGCAAATACTCCATACTCCTTCTTTTTTTGAGTTTTTAAAGCATCGCTTAACATCCATAAAGGGAGAAATTTCTTCTGTTTCGACAAAAACTTTCGCCTGCCCTTTTAATTACTTTCAGTTAGTTTATTATGATTCAAAACCTAGTGAGAAAGTTTCGTTTATTTCAAGAATTTCGCTCGCTAAAAGTTTCTTAATGAAATCTAATGGTTTGTAAGTTTTTTTGTAATTGCCATAAAAAAAGTGTGAGAAAAATTATAGAAAAAACTAACAGAAACTGAAATTTACATAACCATTTTTCCAGTTATTAAAACCCTGTCGCAACTCAAAAAATCTGGCATTTTTTGGAGCTCATTTTCTTAATTTCCATTCCTCGACTTTGGCATAAAAAACACACTTTGAACAAAACTTTCAGAAAACTAAGGAAAACCGAAATTGATTTTAATATTTTTAAGGGAAAAACTGAAAAAAAAAATTGCAAAAAAACTCTACATTTTGCTCGGAACTGCGTTCCATTCACTGGTTTGATCGGATAATCACACATTTTTGAGGCTCTTCAAACCAGATTTTTTTTAGTTGACACATATTTGATGATAAAATTTAGTTAGTAAACTTGATGATTAAGTTTTTATCGTATTATGCCGGAAATTTTAAAAAATTAAATCGGTTTTAAAGTTGGCGTTCAAGAAAAATTGTTCCCAAAACTTTCATAATTTTGAGCAATTATTTTGGCTAGACATTCTATGGCTGCTAATAGAATTGACCAAACAGGCTTTTTCACACAATTCAATTTATTTTAAAGCACGTTAAAAAACCCCAGTCTTGCTTCACGTCAAAAAGAAAATGTTTTCATCTGAAAAAAAAACAGAACTGAAATGCATTGTATTCAATTCATAAGGTTGTATGATTATAATCGAATCGCTAAAACTCAAGATAATCGAATCGTTGAAAACCAAGTTTAGTTCAGATACACATGGACTTAATCCTCATTACTTGAAAAAGATTTGTCCAGTTTTGCTCCCAGTTTTGACGAAACTTTAACAAAAATTTTTCCAGACAATTTGAAAATTGTTAAAACTAAATTTTTTATTCAAATAAAGCAATGATTTAGACCCACAAAATTAGAGGCCTCAATTTCTCTTTTGCCAGTTTTAGATTAAGTTTTTGGCCGGTTAATTTTTAACAGAGTGAACAAATATCTCACACAGTATCAATTTTTACAAATTTGCCAGTTCGGATTTAGATCAAAAAGGAATACAATTGACGCTTGGATAACCATAATAGAAGAAGTTCGTCAAGATTAGAACGATAAGACGACGAAGACACACTGCACCTTCATTGACCTTAAAATGTTTCGAACACTGTTAAATCCTTGTTAAAAACAACATGTTGCCATTAAAACCAAAGTACCTCAATTTAAAAATTTGAGTTATGGAGTATCACAGGAATCCATACTAGGTCACTTTTTTCATCATTTATATAAAAGATATTGAACTAGATGAAAAAAAAAACAATAATCTGAAATTATACGCAGACAAAATTGTCATAAAACCAACAGCCAGAAACAGTGAGTTAACCGTTACTTACCAGGAAGCGTCAGACGAAACAGCAAGTTGACATGAAAAAAAAAACAAGATGAAGATGAAAACAAAAACTAGGTTAGTAACTAAGAAGAACAGCGGAAAATCTGATGTAAAAGTGAGTGGAATAACTTTTGAAGAGAAACAATCGTTCCGTTTCGTACTTGTTCAAAATGACTTTAATCTTTTGTAGATCATATTTCAAAAACTGACAATCATTTGTTTAAGTTTTGTGGTATGCATTACATGTTAAGAAAATTCTTAGGTAGAAATCAACACCTCAAATCATATAAAGATTATGTGAAACCCAATTTGCAGTATGTGGTTTTGGCTAATGCGTCAACAGACAAAAAAAAATTACAAAAGTTGAAATTAAGACCAAACAACTTCTGAGAGTATTTGTTTTAAGAGAAGAAATGAGAGTATAGACAAAATGTTATGAGTTATTGAAGTTTAAATGACAAAATATCTATGAGTTATTCAAGTTACTATGAAAAGTTTTGAGAAAAGAGTGCATATCGACCGTAGCTCAGGAATCTGTAACTGAGAAAAAATGAATACAATTTTGAAAAAAATATATTTCAGCTAAGCAGATATCTGTGCATTCAAAGGGTAATTAAAAACTTCGTTAAATGTTAGATTCAGAAATTTTCCCAACTTAATCTAAAAAAATACCCAGATTTTGTAAACTGCAAGCTGCACAGAATGTCAATTACAAATTTAAAAAAAAGAGTTTTTGAACAACTTTGCTCAGGGAAATTATTACCTGGCTAAAATATTTTTGAGTAGAAATAATCTTAAAAAAGTTTGGACCCAAGGATAGATGTGCTTCTGATTTTCCCCCTTTTTTCGTTCCAAGTTTTTTTTGTTTTCACCAAATCATTTTTTTAAATTGAATAACCGTCAATATTTAAGCCAACTGAAGTCATAACATGATCAGAGGAGCCTGAAAACAGACTGCAAAGTACCACGGCGTTCTCACAATGAGATTTCTGTTGATTGTAATTGTACGAAATTTTACAGTGATTGCAATTTATATTGCAAACAATTTATTATGATTATTATTCTTTCTTTGAAGAATAATTTATGAGCAAAGTGAGAGATCAAGACTGCTCGTATCAAAAAGTATGGATATTCAGTCGCCAATGTTAGGACATAAAGTTTTAACCATGCAACATCGGGTTAACTTGGAAAGTCAGGACAAAAACACTCTAGTTTTTTATACAAAACTTCAAGAAGCAATAATCCTAATTTCCTAAAACATCAAATTATATTATTTATTTACATACTATATTATTTTTTCTAAAAATCATTTAATACTAATAAGAGACTTCAATCCGATGATACACCGCACTCAACAGAGTTGCTGAAAATTCCATAACAACTTTTTTCTGTTTTGTATAGCTTTTGTAAATTGAAATTTAGTTTTTGAAGTTTATGGTAAAACCAAGTACAATTTTTGAACATTGCCAAAAGTGAGCTTTAAATACAACACAGTCGTGTAGCATTTCAGTTGATGCCTTAAAACCTTTATCTGGTTTCTTCCTGTGCAGCTTAGACACCAACTCCTATCAAAAAACCTACAAACAGCACATGAAACTTTGTTTTTTTTTTCTGCTCCCAGTAACCACTTCATCTCTAGCGCTATTCATTTTTTGAACGAGTTAGTCAACACAACTGGTTTCAACAGTTTTGCTCTTCTTTTTAAAGCCACTAGTACATCGCCAATCACTTTTGCGCTGCTTTTGGGTTTCTTTTACGTATTTCGATTTCAAAATTCAGACCAAGAAAGTGTAACAAATGGTTTTCTGCTGCTAGTTTATTCTGTTTTTCATTTTGCGTTAATTTCAAAACATCATCAAAACGTTTTTCTTATCAGACGCTGGTCGTATCTTTTTTTTTCAATTTGCTCTAGACTCCTCCGATTTGTTCCTGATCAGTAAAATCGGCGTATACAAAGTGCGACTTCTTAGAGTTGACTGTTTGTTGGTTTGCTATAAACAGTTAAAGTAAATTCTCGATCCTCAACTCAAACTTTCATGTTAAAAAATAGCATTTTTTCTACCCTGATTTCATAGTATCCTAAAATACATTGAACCAGAACTCATCAAGGTCGAAGTGACACCGTTTCCCAGAAAATAATTTTTTTTTCTCAACGAACTATTGGTAACATTTTGTGACTCATTGCGACTCGTTTGGGAATTCAACAAATGCAATTTATCTATGTGATAACTTCCCCTTAGCCTCTGAGTTTTCTTAGTTGGATAATCTTTGGTTATTGCGCTTATGCACAAAACACAAAGGAACTATTTTTTTGTATGTTCATTTATGGAAAAAATGGTTATCATACGTTGTCATAGAGAAAAATGCTTGTTAATCAACTTCAATGAATAAAAAAATGCAGCGTTTTTATTCAGACGCTTTAATTTCAGATTGTGGAAAAATCGATTTTTATGAACTTTCATTAAATGGAAAAAGGCTGGATCATGCTTTTTTCATACAGTTAATCATTCTTGCAAAAGTTTTTGCAGAATCTTTTTTATGCGGAACGATTCTCTTGACTTCCTCAAAATAAAATCTAATTCAAAATCAGGACCTTTTTCTCCTTTTTCAAAATACTGTAAAAATAATTTTTCAAAAAACTGTGAAAAAGGAAGAGCCTGATTAAAACAGTTTACAAATTTTAAAATTGTTTGTTTCAAGTTTGTACTAATTTTTCAAGTCTGAAAAAATCTGTTGCTTGAAAACTATTTGCACAGAAATCACTTGGTTTGTTACCATCTGGATTTATTGGTTGGATACGCTTCAAAAAATTAACTGGTAAACTGGCCCGGAAAAAAATGATAGCTGAGCTCGCCTCAAAATTAGTTCAGATTCAATCAGGAGGATTCGACGGCGACTTTGCTGACAGAGTCAACTTCAAGTGAGTGTGGGTTTTCACTTAAATTAGGCAGTTATGTTCACCCAAGCTTTAATTGTGAAGATAATAGTTTTTGCACTGCAGTCAATATAATTATGTTAAGGCTCCCTCGCATAACGAAAATTCACAATTACAAAAAACGTCGAGGAAAAAAAACATTTATGAAAGCGAGCAAAAGTTGCCGATTTAAACATTTTTGGAGAGTTTCGACTAAAAAATTGCGTTTTTTTAGCGCACTCTACTTCTTCATTACATGTGTATCTAGGCATTCAGGTTGCCTTTAAAAACTTTGTGATTCTGTAATTTCAGCAGGTAATGTCGCCAGGTTAAGTTTGTGGGGTACTCAGGGTATGAAACTTCTTAGTGTGAGGGCCGGGCTGCTAACCTTGGTGGTAATTCATCGAAAAGTTCCTATCATTTCTCAAGTGTTTTATCATTCGAAATTGGTAACGGGCCTAATTTTGATGGCTGAAAGCTGTTCAATAAAGATTTTTTCCGCTAATTTAGCAATTCAATTTTGCAAATATTATTTTTTTTTTGTTCCGACAACTTTAAGAAGTGAAGTGAAAGAGGTATATAGATTAGCCTGTGTTTTTTTGATCGACTACAGAAAGCTCGTAGGTAATCAGGGGTGATATCATATTACAAAACTTAGCCGTAATTTGGACGCCAAACAAAATCGAAAAATTTTCTGTGTTTAGTGAAAAGCTGGTTCGAATTTTTCCGTGTTTCTGGCTGAATGGCAAAAAAAATGATGAACAATCCTGAGATCTATTAAAACCTAGGACAATTTATAAAATACTTTGGCTATTATTACCTGTAACTTCTGCAGATTGCGATCCAGTTAAATCACCCTCTATAAAAACAACAGAAAATTTGGCGAAAACTACAATGGTATTTCAAAAACAAAACAATTTTTTTTTCCATCAGATTTTTAAAATTGTTTACTTAAACCTTTGCAGTCAGAACATACTGGGTTATTTGCGCAACAGCCAGGTTCATATTATATTGGCTTCCGAAGCAGTTGCATGTTTCTCAAAAAACAGGCCAGTCATTAGTCAAAGTTGGTCCCTCAAGTGATGTTATTGTCACAGAATTTTCTGTTAACTTTTGGAAAGCTGTTTTAAAAAGTGTTTATTTTGTGCAATGATCTAACTTGAAAACATTTTATTAGGATTTCAATTGGTACTCTTTAAAATGGTACTCTTTTTTGGTATTGATTTTTGGAGAACAAATATGGTCGATTTACTCTTAAAATATTCTATTTGGAACCTGATCTAAACTACATTTTATGATTGGATAAATTAGATATTTTACCACTGTAAAGTATTTAATATTAACCAATCATGATCCATCTAACTAACAACCCACTTATTTGTAAGTGCTGAAAATACTTGTAATTTCAGCACCAGAGAGATTTGAAGTTAACTTAGAAATTAGTTGACTCTCCAAGAGAACTTCAGCAGCCGCAATAAACCAGTATACCCTAGATCTATTGAGCCTAGCAGAGACTAGTTAAACAACCTGAGACTAGATAGTATAAGAGTAAGATTAGGATCGGTATTAGACTAAGAAGTTGCACGAATCTATCCGGCCGAAAATAAGATAGCGTGACGAGCAGACGGTGTACCCTATCCGAAATTACTCTATGAGTTAACCACCTCGGTCATAACTCATCTGGTGCGACCATAAGTCTCGAACAAGACCTTAATAGCTTAGAATTAACCAAAAATAGATTAGAATTTAGACAAAACATTTTTAAAATGTTATACGACGATAATTTAATCGAAATGTCTCTACGACTCAATAGATCAGAGCCAATATTCCGAACGATAATAGAACTACCCGGAATTGGAAGAAGACCTCGATCCAGAGACGACATACGACAAAGTAGAAACTTACCAAATAGTTATATGATAGTACGGCAAAAGCCAACACAAACTTTTATATTTAGAATTTTATTAGCAATGAAATTAGATTTTCATTTGCAAACTTAAATCTTGAAGTCAATCTTCATGATCATTTCAGGCGCTAAACAAAATATTAATATACAATAACGATTGATAAAAATATCTCAGATCGTTTTCCTAAAATTCTGCAGTATTATATAAAACATGTTTGGAAAATATTTATTGAAAATCAAAATAAAAATTAGTAGCATGACAATAAACTGTTAGTAATCATAAAATCATCAGTTGTCTCAGCTTCATCACCTAAAACATAACAGCAATCATAAGCTCACTAATATCATTAAAACACTAAATCTTTTCTTAAACAAATTTAAATCATTTTAAACTTAAATTCACTTAATTTTAAAATCAGATCATCAAGGCTTATCCTTGGATCTTAATTCATTTTCTATTTAATTAAATTTAAACTTGATCATCAAGGCCTATCCTTGGATCAAAAAGAACAATTTTGTTCTCCCCCACCCACTTAGCTAGTGTCTAACGACCTCAAACGTCGATTCACTATCCAACCCTTTCAAAAAACCCAAGACTAATAGAAATTTTTGAACAAAACTAATCATTCAAATTAGGATAAACAGTGAAGAACTTCGGTTATTCATCCTTCACTTGAACCCTCCTCTTACCAGACCCAGGATAAATCGTAGACTTAGTAAGTTTAAAATAGTATCTAACGAACTACTCGCGTTCTAATTATACCTGAACCTTGTGGATCGATTTACTATTCTCCAACCCTTGAACACAATCACTACCCTTAAGTAAGATTAAGTAAGTTAACACCTTAGCTTATACTAGCCACGAGAAAGTAAAAAATCATTCTTCGGAATCGATATACTTTTCTCTCCAACCCTGAACAAATAGACCCAGGTTAAGCTAACCAAAAAATCGTAAGGGCTAACAATTTAAGAAAATAGAAATCATCTAACAACTTTTTGCATTCATCATCCTAAACCTTATGTCATCCTAAACCAATCGTTTTGCACAACTGTGAAATAGAAAACAAAAAATACGACCTTGTAATCACACCTCACACACAAACAGTTGGATATATTAGAACAAAACGACAAACACTAAAAAGAAAAATCATAACTAAACAAAGACAAATAACACGAAAAAGATTTTCCAAAAATAGAAACGCATTTTCAGAATCAGAAGCCAACAATTTAGACGAACTCTATAAATTAAAAGAATCTATAGATAAAAATTGCCCCATTCACGATCAATTATATTTTTCCGACTCAGAAACAACTTCAAGTTCATCAAAAAGAGGAAAAAGAAGAATAAAAAAGCAATATAAACACAAACCAGTACATTTATATAATTGAAATCAACCAATTAGACACATCGATAATTACCTATTAACAGTCATTAAACGAAAAAATGAGCCAAACACACTCCAAGTGAAGATAGTCCAGATGATGACGATATCTTCCCCTTCCTCGTAGATGCACCTAATGATAGAGGACAGCATATACTTTGCAAGAATTTACTACTAAATTTATTTGAACCCGGAATCAGCCCATGTAAAGCAGAGTTCCCAGATGTAAAGATCAAAAGACAAATTATTGATCACTATCTGAAAGATATATGTAATTTGACACAACAATACGGAATCTACACCATAGAATTCAGCTCACCAAACCCGAATCACCGCAAATATGTAATTCAAACAGACGACCTTGATTTAGAATTTTCAAAAGTATTCTCAGAATACATAAAAAGCATACAATATCATAACTCACAAAGAGCAAGCTCCATATTCACTAATGAAGTTTTTGCCATAATATATAGTTATATCTCAATATTAGAGAACGAAATTCCAATCCCAAGTGTCTCACCGACAGAGACATCCAAACATATAAAGGTACGACATGAAATCACACTATTTTCAACTTTTCTACATATAATTAAAGACAATTTCACCAAAGATGATGTTTCACAACATACAAAACAAGACTTACAAAAAATTTTGGCATGTTTATAATAGATTATTTCACACATAATATAGATTTAATTTCACAAGCAAGAAAAAATTTCAGACCTCAAAATTCAAACGATGATAACGCCATCACAGAACAGTCAGACTACGTTTGGGACCCCGAATGGTCTCATTATGCATTTATAAATATCCCACAATCAATTGCAAGTCAAGCAATAAGTACAATATCTTATACCAGAGATTATGTAAGAGTAGTACCATTAACCATTGATGCAACACCATTAAACTACAATAAATTTCTACCGGATACGCAAAATAACAGCTTAAACTCGACCGTCATACACAATGAAAACCTTAATGGAACTAGAAATCTCACTCAGCAAGATATTCAGACACCATCACACTTCATAAATGAAGAAATTGTACAAACAACAACAACTACACAACAAAATATTTCACCAATACGTCCAAATTTAACAACACCAAGAAATACAAACACTTCACTAGCACAGGTAACCTTACAATCAACCGTTAAACCTTCCGTTGCTCCAAAATATTCACAAATGGATTATCAAACATATAGACCCATGACAATACCGTCAAAAACACGCAAAACGTTCACAAGAAACACTTTTGCAGAACACAATTATAATTACGCACATTCATCAAAAACAAACTATCCCCCACGAAAAAATAATAATAATCAGATAAGATCTCGATATTGGGATAACCCAATGGCAACAACCAACTCAGTAAATTTTCAAACTAATTCACATCCTCCACAGGATCGTAGTGAAAATTACCCATTCTTTCAGAGTAATAGAATAAAAATAAAAAGCAAGCACCTCATCAAACGGATTATTTATCCTCTGATGATGATTATCTACAACCAGATATATTTGCACCATACACTCAAGAATATCGTGGACAAGGAGTGCAGAAACCGTATACATATCATAGAATTTTTTCTCCACACCCAACAGATACACAAAATCAACAACCAATACAAATGCAAAACCCAATTAATACACAATCTTTTCAACCACTTCAGCCACAAAACCCAATGATTACACACTCGTATCAACCAACACAAATGC